CATTTGCAACATCCAAATGGCATCAGGGTGAATAGCCTGTTGACATCAGAGTGGGACAAAATAAGAGGACAGGGCTCCTGGGAGCTTGTTACAAGTAGACTTGGATGAAATAATGGTTCCTGGAGGTGAAGATGATCTTTGAATATTTTCCAACTTTTTATTTTTCACCCAGACCCCAGACTCCAAATGCAGATCTTCAGGAGAAATACTAAAGGAATTCCTCCAAGGGCCGGGGATTTAGCTCAGTGGTGCTGCACCTGCCTCGGAAGTGTAAGGTCCTGAGTTTGATCCCTGGTACCAGAAAAAGAAATTCCTCAGAGGAGTGGATGAAGCTTGGCTAAAAGAAGTTAGGATCATTAAAGGCACTCATTCAAATTCGAACAAAAAAGCCCACATACCCACACGCTTTCATACATACATGCATGCTATGCACATTGCCTGGCTGACATTGCAAACTGCACTCTCACCTAGATTCAAGCCTCTACAGACACTTAGAAGATGCTCCCTTTGAGTTTCATCTTCCTTCTCCAGCAGCTGCCTCTAGTAGGGTGCAATTTCCCTTATAATGACTGCCTTCTCAGCAGGAGCCCCAACCTGCACAGGATGGTCGGCGGATTTTCTCCCTTTATACTTAGTCTATTTCACTGAGGTCACTGGTGTGAAGCCTAGTAAGGACTTATTTATCATACGGTAAGTGTATTTTTATTTATTAATTTTCTGTTTGATCATCATACTGACATTGCCTTGGGGATCTTTGGGTTGGACAAAGCAATACTCTCTGTAGCTGTATCCTGTCCTTCCCATCCATACTTCCACAGAATGCTCCATCATTTCATCATTAACTATCCTCTTTATCATTTTTTGGAACGTGGGAAAGATCATTCTTTTTCACATTTTTAGGCTCTCATTTTCAGAGTAGAACTTGAGGGAGACAATACCTTCTACTGTTTTTACCATATGTGCCCCTTCTCACAACAGAACCAGCTCTGAGTGATAGTGAGAAATGTGCAATGGAAACATTAAAATCATTGGGTTGCATTCAATACTATGATGTTGAAGAAAACAATCCTTTTCATACTGTCCAGAGTGAGATGATATTTTATTATTTATGAATAAAGAATTTTATGCCCTCATGGTTATTTATAACCCATCATCTCACGCAGCTTCTTATTGTATATATTCAATTATACTCTCAAATAATCTGTATACCTTGCTTTCATACTAAGACTTTTCCGTGAGCCATGGAGCTGTGAGCCAGGCCAGGAATAAGGGAGCAATACTCAGTGAAATTGTTATCATCTAACTGAATTTGGCTTCACAGGTGCATTCTCTATTTTCAGATATTACCACACCAATTTTGTAGTCAAAAGTGGACAGAGTTAATAAGGTAATTTTGCAGAGTGTTACAAGATTCAAGAAGATGACTTTTGTTTCTGTGAGAAGAAAGGATCTCTGAGAAGATGATTGCTTATTTCTTTGTTAGCTGGTAGAGCCACAGCTATTGGCCCTAATATCTCCTCACATTTGGAAGCAGGGATGGCAGGGTTAGGAATTGGATTATCTTCCTGCCACAGAAGGAGGTTTCTTTATGTTCCAGAACATACAGAAGAAGTTTGCTTATATTTTTTGTTCTTAGATACTTTTCTTGTTTGTTTGTGTGTGTGTGTGTGTGTGTGTGTGTGTGTGTGTGTGTATATATTTTAGACAAGGTTTTGTTATGTTGCAAAGGTTGGCAGCAATCTCTGGGAGCCAAACAATATTCTTGCCTCAGCCTCCGATTAGCGGTGAATACAGTCATGTGTCACTCACTACTTCTGACATTTTCTCCCATAATTTTCCAAAATATGTTGGATATCATTAATCAGTTTATTTGATGTGAAAGCATTGGTTCTGATGGTTGTAGTGTTTACTAGCTACTTACAGGTGTACAGGATTAGTGAGTGAGTCAGGCATGTCTGCTCTGAATCTCCGGAAATCTGTTAGAGAAACAAGTCTTATTGGCACTTGCTGGAAATGGTAAAAGAGGTTTGATCTAATCAGGAAATAATGACCAGTTTATGGACCACTGTAATGGGAGCTTCATCTGCAAAATAGGATTAAAAGTGGATTCTGACTAATGCAGGGACCTTTACAGTCAAAGATTAAGAGGGAGGTCAGGATGGGACATTACTAAGGGACAGCATGAGAGTCACGATGATTCTGGCTCAATCAGACTGAAAGGATTCAAGCAGAGGGAAGCCCAGGGTGCTCAGACATGATCTGGATACAGTGAAGGATGGGGACTCTTCATACACAGAATATTATCAGATTTCAAAGATAGTTTAAGGATGCAGTAGGCAAAGTTTGGCTCTTTTCCTGGGAGACGAGGACAAGCTGCGCATCCTCTTTTTCTCTGCTGTCCACTGTCACACTCTGGGTATCATTGTGAGGTGGCAGTTCGGCTTTGACCAGACACATGCACTATGAACTCTGAGATTTCAAGAAACTTCTGTGGACAGAGTGATTCATATATTAGGACAAAAAATTAGGGACACATGGGAAAGTTTTGATTTATCTTAAAATCAAAAGGAATATGAGCAGAACTTTGAGAAAAGAAAAACTTGTACATATGAAAAATTAATATTTTAACAATATTGGATTAAAAATATAATTATAATATTTTCAAAGAAGATGCAGCCATCTATGCATAAATGCAAAGGCCAAAATAACTACAATATAGGCTTTATAATATTTTGAACATTTGCATATGTACATATATGCAAATAATATATAAAATATATAGAGAAATATATTTTACAATAGTAGGATTATGTCATTATTCTGCTTTAGCATATTTTCTTAATTAAAATATGATATATAGTCATATCTAGAATATCAATAAAATTTTACTCTTTACAAATATGGATACTCCTCATTTTGTTACTGGCTTTTACATTCATGTGTCTATTGATAGGGAAAAGTTTTACATAACTTAGCAGATTAAATATTAAGGTAGTTCTAGAAGCAAAGTAAGTAATGTGTCCCTTTAAGACTTGCTTTTCCCATAACTCTTGTTGTATAAGGTGATGATTATCTGACTCTATAACCAGTAACTTCATTAACCTAACAAAGTTGCAATGCCTGGGTGAATTTACAATGTATACATGCTTATCTTGTGTCTGTGACTTGTAAATAGGAACTGGAATTATATTTGCACATCAAAACCACTAGGGATGAGATAATGGCTAAAAAGGATATAAAAAGGAAATACTAAGCTAAACAAAGAGGTGTGCAGATACTGACCAGACTGTTTTCTGGTGGTCCCACCTACTTGCAAGTAGAACTTTTATTATTTTACCCGAATTCTGTGTCTCCATGTATTTCTTTCCTAGATTTCTGGAACATTTGGTTCCCTGACCAGGAATCGGGAATGCAATAGTCCTTTTGGGCATTGGCCCGAGCCTCACCGGAGGGAGCTGCTCTCTGTCTCCTCAAGACAAAAGGCGTGCTCCTGGGACAAATTTCCTAGGCTCCCCAACAGGACACAGAGACCCGCTCACTGGTTGCAGATTGCCTGAACCTGAGACAGAGAAGGAGAGAAGGAGGGCTGCTGCTGTTGGTGTCTCATCTGTCTCTCTCCTTTGCTGGGTGAGAAACTGCAGGAAACACCCTAGTTGTTAAATTTTGGTTTTGCTTTGGTTTCACTTTGTGAATTTGTATTTTGTAACTTTGGGCAAATACAGCACAGGGGCCTGATCACCCCTTGTGCTTTTTGTTTCTACTATCACCAATTCATGGAAGCTGTGTGTCACTTTCCAGTGACTGAAATAATACCATTCAGATGGAGACAGTCCTGTAGAGAAACTTAAACTGTTTTATTGTGATGGCTGAAATCCACCTTTCCCCAGTTACCATAGATTGTGACCCATATATTTCTTTTTGTGTGTGTGATATTAAAACAACTTTGTTTTGCATAACAAGTTTATTTTTTTAAAGGCATATAGACCATACAAAGTAAACATTTAAACGGATTTTAACTTCTGCCCTAAAATTGTTCCATTAAGGGTCAGTCTCTAAACATTTTTAGTTCAGTAATCATCATCTTCGTCAGAGTCCATTACTTTTCTTCTGTTGAATTTAACTGTTGCTTTCTTTTCTGTTTGTTGGCTTACTTTTTCAAGGATTTCTATTAAACTTTGTCCTGAGAGCTTCCCACTTAGCTGTCCATACTTTGCCATCTGTATAAGGTAATTTTCTACTGCTTTCGTTTTTTCAGGCTTTACAAGTGCTAAGTTACTTAACCTGGCCCGGGCCGATTGATCCAGAACTTGCGCTGAGATACTGTTTCTCATTTCTGCTTCCCTGTGCTTTGCTTCCTGTTGTGCTGCATCATTAGGATCCTGAGCACTCTATGAAGATCACTGTTTACTTTTGGACCCCCAACTCCGACAGTAAACTCCGTCGGGGCGGAGGCTGCTCAGTCCCCGCGGTACCCACAGCACTTGGAACTCAGCAGATCCTAAAATAAATGCTGCCTGCTCGGGACAGAGCAGCTCAATTCTACACCCTGGCTGCCAGCTCCGAGATGTGGCATAGGGGTGCGGCCGGCCAGGCAGGCAGTCAGCCGTTGTGACCCATATATTTCTTATGAAAACCTATTTTCTTTTCCTAAGATTTTTTTTTCTTTGAAAACGGGAGCACTAAGTATACTAAAATCGACCTTTGCTCTTTATTATTAACTTAATCAAGGCAAACAACTGCTGAATGCCTGCTGAATTCGGCCCAGGGAGCGGAGGGTCAATCAAACACCCTTGCACAGCTGGGAGAGTCCCAGAAGGACGACACTAAGCACAGGGTTGTGATCAGAGATTCGGAGCACACGTTCTAAGGGCCTGTGGAGTTCAGCGACTTGCGCCCATAAAGCAAAGCCCGGAAAGCACTGCGTTTGCGCAGTGGCTCAGTTTAAGCAAAAGCAAGCCGTCCCCTTGCCGGCAGCTGTGCATAATCGAGCGTTCTGGGTGCGCAGGCGCAGTGGTGAGGGGCGTGGCGACGTGGTCCGCGCCATTCAGAGGTAAAGCTGCGGAGCCGCGAGATTTCAATTCAGCCTGCGGCCTCCAGGCTGTCTCTCCAGTTTGGACCTAACGCAGCAGTCCTTCCCTGGGGGAACAAGGTGAGCAGAGCGCTTCACGGTAGCAGAACTGAGGACCCAGAAAACGGGGTAGAGGAAGGTCAGACCCGGGGGTAGGTGATCCTGAGGGGCTGCGTGAGGGAGGTGAGCTTGTGGAAGCGAGGGGAGGGGCCTTTTGATGGACGGGCGATAGGCCAATGGGGGAAAGGGGCGGGCCCGGGAAGGCGGTGCCTTCGGAGAACTGGCGCGGTTTTTAAGCTTCTGACGACAACTGGCAGGTGTCGGGCCTTAAATTGGGGAATCTGTGCCCAGCGCTTTCACGAGGTGTTTAATGATGGCCACTCGAGCGTGCGGGCGTTGCCTCAGCCCTGGTGAAGAGCTCCACGGAGAACTTGGGCGGGAGGTCCTGGTTGTGCCCCACAGAGTCCCTGGAGAGGTGTGAGATCACAGACCATGTCCCTCAGTGCTGAGTGGATCTGTTACTGTCGGATTTCATCTCCCCTGTTCTTTAACCGTGATTGACCTGTGCTGCTTCTGGAATAATGAGATCTATAGTCACCTTCACGGGGAAGGGAAATGATTATTTTTGTTCTGTATTGTCTCATGCTGTGATTCTGAAGTTGGCTAGCTTAGTCTTTCCTTTTGCCCTCCTTACCGTGGAGGAGGAAGAGTCAGGAAATGAGCTTAGGGGCGTGGGGAGTGACGGAGACTGTCCTGGGCTCAGCCACATACTTCATGAACTTGAGCAAATCACTTTTCTGAGTCTCAGCTTCTTCACCTATAAAGAGCTGATGGAAATACTAACCACACAAGCTTGTTGCCATTGAGGACTGGCGCTGGGACTGAGAATTCAAGTCGTGGCACCTCTCTGCCTCCCACCTGTGAAGAACAGAAACCTCTGGCTACAGCCCCATGACTACCTGACTACTCATTTATTCATGAGAATCTTATTTAACGCCCGCAAGGTGCTAAAGCTAAAGCTCCTAGTTTTGAGACCTGGAAGCAGAAAAGAGAAAGACAAGAGAAGAAGAGTCCTCCTTTTGTATAGTCTATATTCCCCCCGTGGGGAAGAACAGTGAATAAAATAGGTTCAGATAGTGCTAAAAGCTATGAAGAAATTAAGTACAGCTTGAGGTGATAAAGGTGAGACCTGAGGCAGGATGTGTGTGCACATAGAGTGTGTGTGTGTGTGTGTGTGTGTGTTGGAGTGTATCGGACACTATCAAGTGGCCAAACTGGGATGGGAGGTGAGCTGAGGTCTGAATACTGGGTCATCATTTTGGAGGCAGGGGAACCAGCGATTGCAAGCCCCAGGCTGATTAGGTCAGGCTCAGTGCCTGGCTGAAGGGTGTGTAGACTGACCAGCGAGCTATCTTTGTAGAGAGGCAGTGCTCATCAGTCTTTGTCTTGGGATTGAGTACTAAGAAACATGAAAAGAACTTTTACTTGGCAGAGCTGATTGAAGAGATCATATACAGGCTAAAGATCTGGGTAATCAGAACATAGGAGTGGGCTGAGGAAGTCAGACTGGGGCTCTGGATAGCAGCATGATCATCTGTGGTATTTTCTTACTGGTGAGGTTCCTGGTGCTGTCTTGAAGACTCAGCTAGCAGCCTTCTCACCTGAAAGAAGCCCCATCCTGCCAGTGACATGTGTTCCTGACTTTCTCAGTCTCGGTTAATTTTTCAGTGTGTATCATTTCAGTAAATAACTCTTTTACTTCAGCAAGATCTCTTCCAACAACATTAACTTGATGAAAACAGAACTGTATGGAGCTGGTTTGAAGGGCTGATTTTCCTTCTCTTAGTTATGACTTTGAGCATTTATGTACTTTCTTCCCTCTCCTCCCTCCCCAGTGCTGTAGAGTGAACCCAAGGCTTTGTACAGGTGAGTGCTATACCACTTAGCCACTGTCCCAGTGAGCAATTATTTAATTTTTTAAAAAATTAATTTTATTGGTATGTTTTAGATATACATAATGATAGCATTGATCATGTGGAATTTGTACCTGTACACCATGTATCTTTCTTTTTTCCCTTTCCTTCCCCTCTCTTCACTCCTCTTCCTCCTTATTTATAAAAGATTTGTTTCCAGGTTTTCCTTCTATTCCCTTTTTTGCCTTATCTGTTCCTTCCTTTCTCCCTCCGCCTCTCTAGTTCCCCTTCCCATTTGAACATTTTCTTCCTATTTCACAATATGTGTCATACATTTTGGTCCTTATTTATACTTTCAGTTTGTAACACCAGAGAAAATATGCGATATTTAAACGTGTTTGTCAGATTTATTTCACTTAAGAGTATGGTCTCAAGGTGCATCCATTTACCTAGAAATGTCTCAAGTTTATCCTTGTTTATGGCACAGTAGTACTCTATTATATAAAAAAAAGCACGTCTTCTTTATTCACTCATCAGTTGATGGGCATTTAGATTGTTTGTTAGCTGTTACAAACTGTTCTGCTGCAAACATTTTGTGTGCATATATCACTGTGGTACAATGCTTTTAATTCTTTCGAGACGATACCAAGAAGGGGAATGGTTGCATCAAATGGAACCTCTACTTTTAGTTTTTTGGGGAATCTCCACACTGATTTCCACAGTGGTTGCTCCAGTCTACACTCCCACCAACAGTGGAGAAGGGCTCTTCTTTCCCCACAGCCCCTCCAGCATTAGTTATTGGTTGATTTCTTGATAATAGCCATTCTTTCTAGAGTGAGATGGATTCTCAGTGTTATTTTAATTTGCATCTCTCTAATGACCAGTGATGTTGAATATTTTTTCATATATTTATTTGCCATTTCTACTTCATTTGAGAAGTGTATTCATTTCAGATGCCCATTTTAGGACTGAGTCTTTAAATTTGGAGAGTATGATTGTTTTGAGTTCTTTATATATTCTAGATATTAGTTCTTCGTCTGAGAACAGCTGACAAAAATGTTTTCCCACTCTGTGGGTTGTCTCTTTTAGTGGTTTCCATTAAACTCTTTTAGTGATTTCTTTTGCTGTGAAAAAGTTTTTTAATGAGATCCCAGTTGTTGATTTTTTGTGATATTTCCTGTGCAATAAAGATTTTGTTCATAAAGTCTTTCCCTACACCTATGTCTTCAAAAGTTCTACCTAATCTCATTTCCAGCGGTTTCTGTTTTAATATTTGATTTATTTTGATTTTAGTTTAGTTCATGATGAGAGATATGGGTCTATTTTCAGTCTTGGGGCATGTGGAAAGCCAGTTTTTCCAGCACCACTTATTGAAGAGGGTCTCTTTCTTCCGGTGAACGTGTTTGGCCCCTTTGTCAAAGATGCAGTGGCAGGGTATGTTTGGAGTTGTTTCTGCATCCTGTAGTCTATTCCATTGATCCTCTCCCCGCTCCCCGCCCCCCGCCATTATCATGCTGTTTTTTATCACAGTACCTCTGTAGTATAATTTCAAGTCAGGGATTATAATGCCTCTGTCCTTGCCTTTGTTGCTCAGGATTGCTTTTGCTATCCTAGACCTCTTCTGGTTCCAAATGAATTTTAGGATTATTTTTTCTAATTCTGTGAGGTATGCTATTGGTATTTTGATTGGAATTGCATTAAATCTGTAAAACAGTTTTGGGAGTATGGCCATTTTTACTATGTTGGTTCTTTCTACCCAAGAGCAACGGATATTTTTCCATTTTCTGATATCCCCTTTGATCTTTTTTCAGAGTACTGTAGTTTTCAATTAAAGGTTTTTTACTTCCTTCATTAGATGGATTCCAAGGTATTTCATATTTTTGGATGCTATTGTGAAAGGTGTTGTTTCCCTAATTTCTCTTTCAGTGAGTTTGTTATTTGTGTGCAGAAATGCTGTTGATTTTTGAGAGTTGACTTTGTATTTAGCTATACTACTGAACTTGGTTATTAAATCTAAAGTCTTTTGGTGGATTTTTCAGTGTCTTCTATGTAGAGTATCATGTTGTTGCCAAATAATGATAACTTCTTTTCATGTCCTTATTCCTTTTATTTCTTTCTCTTGTCTAATTCTTCTGGCTAATGTTTCCAGAACTATATTACATAGGAGTGGTGATAGTGGACATGCTTGTCTTGTTCCTGATTTTAGAGTGAAAGCTTTCAGTTTTTGTCCATTTAGTATGATGTGGGCTGTTGGTTTGCCATAGATGGCTTTTATCAGATTGGGTTAAGACAGTCTATTCCAATTTTTTGTAAGAATTTTATCATGAATGGGTGTTGGACTTTGTCAAACATTTTTTTCTGTGTCTGTTGAGATGATCATATAGTTTATGTCCTTGGCTCTGTTAATATGGTATATTACATTTATTGATTTCTGTATGTTGAACCATCTCTGCTTCCCTAGGTTCAATCCTACTCGGTCATGGTGTATAATCTTCTTGAAGATTTGTTGCACTCTGTGTGCCAGTATCTTACTGAGGATTTTTGCATCCATGTTCATGAGGGAGATTGGCCAGTAGTTCTCTTTTTTGCTTGGATTCTGCTCCAATTTTGATATTAGGGTAATGCTTGCTTCCAAGAATGAGTTTGGGAGTATTGGTTCCCTTTCAATTTCATTAAAGAGTTTGAGAAGTAGCAGCATTAGGTCTTCTCTAAATTTCTTGCAGAATTCAGCAGTGAATCCATCAGGACATGGACTTTTCTTTATTGGTAGGTTTTTAATTACATCATCAATTTCATTGATATTGAGTTATTTAGAATCTTTATATCTTCTTGATTCAGTTTTGGTAATTCATATTTATCTAGAAATCTGTTCATTCTGTGTTTTCCATCTTATTTGAATACAGGTACTGATTTGAAGTAGGTGCTGATGATCTGGATTTCTGCAGGATCTGTTGTGATTTCACCCTTTCTTTTCTAATTGCATAGATATGAGTCCTTTCTTTCCTTTTTTTGATAAGTTTGGCGAAGGGTTTGTCACATTTTCTTAATCTTAAAAAAGAACCAATTCTTCAATTCATTGATTCTTTATATTGTTTTCTTAGTCTCAGTTGCATTAGTTTCTGCTCTAATCTTTATAATTTCCTCCATTGTATAAGCTTTCAGCTTGACTTGCTCTTCTTTTAACAGCAGCTTAAGGTTCAATATCAGGCTGTTTATTTGAGCCTGTTCTGTTTTTCTGAAGTAAGGATTTACTTCTATAAATTTCCCTAGTAGGACTGCTTTCATTGCATCCCATAAGTTCCAGCATGTTGTATTGGCATTATCATTTAATTGTATAAAATGTCTGATTTCTTCTTTAATTTCCTCTGTGACGCATTGGGTGTTCAGGTGGGTGTTATTCAATTTCCATGTGTTTATGGAGTTTTTGTGGTTTCTTTTGCCATTGATTTCCAGTTTCGTTGCACTATGGTCTGATAATATTCATGGGATAATTTCAGTTTCTTTGCATTCACTTAAACATGTTCTAGGAGTAGTATGTGGTCTATTTTGGAGGGCATCCCATGCCCAGCTGAGAAGAATGTATATTCTGATGTTGTGGAGTGCAACACTCTGTAGAAATCTAAGTCCATTTGTTCAAATATTTGGTTCAACTCTGGTATTTCTTTGTTGATTTTTTTGTCTAGTTGATCTGTCTATTTGTGACAGTGGGGTATTGAGGTCCCCCACTACAATTGCGTTAGTGCTTATTTCATTTTTCATTAATATTTGTTTTATATAATTGGGTGCGCCAATATTTGGTGCATATATATATTTATGATTGTAATCTGTTCCTATTGAATTGTTCCCTTAACAAGGATGTAGTGAACTTCTTTGTCTCTCTTGATTAGTCTTGGTTTGAAATACACTTTGTCTGCAAATATAATACCTAGCCTTCTTTTCTCCAGGTTCCTCTCATATGGAGTATTGTTTTCCATCCTTTGACTTTCAGTGTATGAATTTCTGTTTGAGTTAAATGTGTTTCATGTATGCAGCGTATTGTTGGATCTTGTTTCCTGATCCATTCTGTTTCTTTTGAGTGGTGAATTGAGACAATTTATATTAATGGTTATAACTGATATGTATTGACTTATCCTTATCATGTTATTTTCTTGTTGTTGTTCTCTTTCTTTTCCCTCTGTTTAATTACTTGCCTTGCCTGGTGGATTTGTTCTGTTGGGGCTCATGGAGTAGTAGTCTCCATTATCTATTTCTAGAATATCCTTCAGAATATTTTGGATTGCTGGTTTGGTGGTCATGAATTTCTTCAGGTGTTCTTTATCATGGAAGTACCTTATTTCTCCATCGGTTTTGAAAGACAGTTTTATGGGGTACATCAATCTGAGTTGGAGGTTGTTTTCTTTTAGGGCTTGAAATATTTCACTCCAAGCTCTCCTTGACTTAAAGGTTGTTTGAGAAGTCTGCTGTAATTCTGATGGGTTTTCCTTTATAAGTAATGTGTTTCTTTTTTCTAACTGCTTTTAATATTCTATTCTTGTGCTGAATTTCTGGAATCTTGACTATTATATGCCTTGTTGTTGATTTATTTTGATCATGGCTAATTGAGTTCAATACACCTCACTTATCTGTATGTCAGATTCTTTTTACATGCTTGGGAGGTTTTCTGCCATTACTTCTGTGAACAGGTTTATTATGTCATTTCTGCTATCTCCTGCTTTTTCATTGACTCCGATCAATCTTATGTTATTCTTTGCATCATCTAGCAACTGTTGGCTTGATTTTTCATGGTCCCTTGTTATTTTTAAGAAATCTTTCTTTTCATAATTGCTAATGGAAATTTTGTGTTCTAGATCTGATATTTTGTCCTCACATTGGTTCATTCTGCTGCATACACTTTCAATGGAATTTTTAATCTCCCAGATAACTGAATCTGTTTCATGAGTTCTGTTTTCCTGTATTGGGCATTCATGACTTCCATCAGTTTTCTAAGCTCCTCTATTTTTTTTTATCTGTGTCTTCTCTAGATTCATGAATCATGCCCTTCATTTTGGCCATCATTGCTGAAGTTATCTGAGAAATTACTTCTGATTTGATTTTTTTTCTAGAGCCTCATTTGCTTTGTTACTTCCACTGATACCACTTTAGAGAGTCCAGATGGGTAGCTTTAGAATTGTTTGACCTCATTGCTACCTGAGTTTACCTTTGGCGAGCTGGAAGCGTGGGGTTGCATCTTACTTCCATGTCTTCTCATTTTCCTTTGTTGTTGTTGTTTAATTCCTGCTTTGATGCTTGTAAGTTGTTTATGGTAGATGTCTTTATTGCTAGTATGAAGAGCCCTTAGGAAATGACTACTTCTTAGAAATATTTTCCAGGTGTAGCTGGCTTTTGCATTTTAATTCTGGTGCCAGATTGTACCTCTTCAGCTTGTTGGGGATGGGAAGTTGTTGCCTATTTGGCTAGCCCCTGATTCTTTGGCACTGGCCTAGTGTATTGTTTATGACCCTCAGGCAATCTTAGTCATGGCATACAAGGAAGAACAACTGATTAGAGCAATTATGTCACCTTGGCTAAAGTAGTACAATCAGCACTAACAGTAGCATCAAACACAGCCTAGAGAATGACAAACTGTGGTAACTATTAATTTGCCACCTTTAACCATATGAACTGATTTTTAGTTATGTAATCAAATGTAAAAGAAACCAGAAAATTGTGTACAGTAAATATACCCTCAATGTGGTGATTTTACCCTCAGGAAAGAAACTTTAAAAGAGATTAGGGGAAAAATAGAGAAATAGAAGAAGAGAAAGGGATTAGAAGCAAGGCTGGAAGACAAAGGAAGATTACACAAGCTTTGGGAATTGGTGGAGACAGGAAAGAACGAAGGAAGAAACAGAAATAAGAACAGAACAAAACAAACAAAATCCATAAAAGTAGAAACAGTGTTATCACCAGTATAAAAAGAAGACCAGACAATTAAGAAAAACAGAAAATAAATGAAAAAATAGAAAGTAAAGATAATTAAAAATTAAAAAGCAAAGAAAGGAAGAAAAGTAGAAAAAAATGTCCACTTCAGGGTGTATCTCTGCTGTCTCTGGTTGACAGAGGTGGCAGATAGAGCCCAGATCCATGTTGATTTTCCCAGCAAGCCAGCAGTAGAATTATGGTGTTGGTGGATAATACCATAAAACCTGGGCCTTTGGTTCCACTGAAGTTCAAGCTGGTTCTGGTTTCTGACTGTGAGACCAGGACCCTAGTTTTTCAGCCTATAACACTTGAGTGACACCTGCTGGCTTGAACTCAGCTTCCTGGTTGCTTGAACTCGGCTCCCTGCTGGCCAGGACTCCACTTCCTGATCTGCTGACTTGAACTTGGTTGAGCCTCATGCTGACGCTTGGAGCCATTAGATGGAGCCAACCCTGCAGCTGTTCTGATTTCTGACTCTCATTGGCACCTTTTCAAAATGACTACTGGCCAAACGCCCTCTCCTGGGGCACATCTGAACCCAAATAACTCACCAGCCACTGCAGTCCACAGCATCCACTGCTCCATTCCGCTGGTGCATTTCTCTGTGGAGACCTCTGGAGTTCCCAGTAGTCACCATGCCTCTGCAGCTTTGAAGTGCCCTTCCCACACCACGAGCCAGGGCTAAGGGAAAAATTGCTACTTGCCACTTTCCTACTCCACATTGTGGGCCCTTTCTTTGCTCTCCCTGGGGGCTCTAATTCTCACTTTAGATCCTTGCCAGGTCCTGGGGATCCATTTTCCTCCTCCTTCTCTTCCTCACATTGCTGTATTCCGGCATCTGGATTCCAGATATTGGAGAGGCTGTTTCCTGCTGTTCACCATTCTGCCACCTTCTTGGAAATCCAGCAGTTATTTAATTTCTACATACATTGGTATCTAACAGCTGTACCCTTAAATCAGTACAGACATATTAATAGAATGGACTTTCAACTTTTTAAATATTTGTTCTGAGAAGAGATAGACCTATCAAGTATCTTAGAAAAATTACTTCCAAAAAGCAAGATGTGAGAAGCAAGGTAGAAGAACCAGTCCCTAAAGTGGCAGTTAAAGGAGGAGAGGATATGCAAGGCTATCTCAGAGAAAATTAATTTCAGAACAGGAGAAAAAGCTGAAATAAAGACATTGCTCTGAGCCCTTGGCTGGCCAGGGAGGACAAATCCTGTGTCTATGAAGAAGTGGGGCTGTGCACGTCACGTGTGCCTTCTGCACAAGCCTTGCTGGTGACTCTGCTGGTGCCAGGGTGTCACAGGCCTTCCCCGAAGAAGGGGAGGCAGCTTGGGTCGGCGAGTGCCTGCAGAGGCCTGCTAGAAGAATGCTGCAAAGGATTCACCAGCACCAGCCTTGATGCCAGTGGCACCCATTCTACCACAGAAGCATTCGAAAGGTATCTATGCAGCAGTGAGCTGGAGGGGAGATAGGATCAGGGGCTTTCTTGAGCTCCTCCTGCTGTAGCCACTGCCGATGAAGGCTCTAGATGAGATGCATGACTCTGCTGTGGGCTCCTGCAGGTACACAGCAGATGCAGATGGTTGCTGTAAAGTGTACAACCATAGGGTGCATCTGTGACCAGTGTGGAGACCATTAGGTCCTATTTCACTGCTCATCAGAGAGGTAGCACATTTCTTCATTTTTTTTTTTCCCTAGAACCATGGCTGATAAAACCCAGGAAGTCGGTGGCATCCATTTCCCTTTTCCCTTCCCACCCTACTCCATCCAGAAGGACTTCATGGCAGAACTGTACCAGGTGTTGGAGGCTGGCAAGATTGGGATATTCGAGAGTCCCACTGGCACGGTGAGTCTGCGTGACATGGGACAATGGCTGAGAACTTGGAGGCAGTCTTTCTGGCTTCCACTCTTCACCTCTGCAGAGATTTTCATGGCTGGAAGTTGGGCAGCACATTCTCTCAGTTTATCTTTCTGAGCTCTCCTGACTGAGCTCCCACAGCAAAGTGTTCTCAAGAAGAATTTCAGGATGTCCCTCTGCCCACAGTGCCAGCCGCAGTCCTGCCTGGTTTGCAGTCTCTGGAGCCTCACTTGGGGACCTCTGAGGCCCTTGGGTTTGGGAATCCTTGCTCTGCTAACGAAGGTCCAATTCTCTGTCTCTCCATCTCTTCTTGAACTTGCTATTTTTCCTCCTTCTGCTTTTTTTGTTTTTGCGGGCATGCATCTCTTGACTTTGGTCCAGTTTTAGTGATTTTGGCAGAGAACGTGGCAGAGCAATATTGATCCTGCCTTGCTTACCCTGTGGGCCCTTCTCCTCCCTCTCTGCATTTCTGTCTCCGTTCTCTGCCCCCTCCAAGTGTCCTCTCCCTCTATGCAGCCCTCACGTGTTGACCCCTTGGTTTCATGGCCTCGTCAAGGGTGTCCCTTCCTGTGGAAACCCGCCCCCGGGACTCACTTCCCCTTTGCATTCTGGTGTCTTCTAAGTCACACCCCCAAGGAGGAGCCATGCCATTTCACAACCTGAGTGGCATTTGGTTAACCTGCCTGCTTCTGGTGCACAACCTCCCCCCACAGCTGCCCAAGATCCCTGCTTACCCTGGGAGCCACTCGCTAAGCCTTCCGTGATTCCAGCAGCCAGAGCTGGCATCTTGATGGCTGCAGTGCCCTGTGTGACGCTGCAGTTCTGGGAGTGTCACTACCTGGACTTCACCGCAGTGTGTGCTGTCCTTCCAAGTGCATGGTACACTCTTTGCCCTGGGCACTTTCCAGGGTGTCCTGTGCCTGCACTGGCCAACCTCCAAGCCCGACTCCCCCACACCCAGGAGGTGTTGGGAAAATGAATGAATTCCCTTGCCTGGGCTGAGATTTATAGCTTGATGCCTGGGGTGGTGTTGCATGAGATGCCATTGCTCAGTCCAGGTGCTCTGAGAGTGTTCGGTTAAGTTTATTCCACGTCTGTGAGCATTTGCATTTTTGTTTGGGGTTTTCTTTTATTTTTGTTTGTTTGCTTTTGTTTTGGGTACTGGGGGTTGAACCCTAGGCCTTGTTCATGCTAGGCAAGCACCACATCACAGATGCCAGCATCTTACTACCCAGCCTTTTAGTTGGTTCCAGTCCCCAACTTTTTTCTTTTGTTTGTTGTTTGTTTTTGCAGTGCTTCGGAGGAGCCTAGGGCCTCATTTTAAACAAGCATTTTATCACTGAACTACACCTCTAACTCCTTCAGACAGTAATTTTTGTGGTCTTTTTACAGGATAGAGCCATGGGTGGCCTCAGTTTACCTTTTAGTCTTTGAGTTAGAGTGGACTCAAGATTGGGGGATAACTGTGACCATAACCTCAGGGACTTCCTCAGGTCACTTTCAGGTGGAGGGAGGACCCTAACCAAGCGTCTGTCCCTGGGCCATCCTTACGGTGGTGTGGTGTTTCTGCCTGGCCCAGTGAGAACCACAGCCAGTGGCTGCTTCTGTGCCAGGCTGTCCAGAGTGGCTGCCCAGGTTCTGCTGGGGGTGCTGCCTGGAATGCTGCCATTCGGTGTCTTGGAAGTTGAGAGAAATGGTGTATATGAGGCTTTTTTATTTTTTTGGTACCGGGGATTGAACTCAGGTCCTTGCGCTCGCGCAGCAGGCGGTGAAACCACTGAGCTACATCCTCGGCCCTGTATGAAGCTTTTCTGAAGCTGTATGATCCGTCTGCTCAGCAGCAGTGCATTCTGGCACAGAGCCTTGCCCGGTTTGATGGAAGCCAATAGCTCCCACATCTCAGGTTAAAGATAATGTTATTATTACTTAATATGTTGATGTATATATTTGGCTGCTCACTTACTACAGACCAGGTATTCTCTGGGTCCTGCTGTAGGCATTTGCCTTGCCGTCTTAACTACTGTAATGCTTGTATTGCCGTGTGAGGAAGGCGTACTCCTTCACGCCCTTGTGGCAGTGGGTGTTAAGAGGTCACCCCAGAGTCCCAGAGCTGGTCAGTGGAGGAGCCAGGATGTAACCCAGGCAGCCGGGTGGTGGCATCTGAAGCCTTAGCCTCTGTTCTGCACCACTTCCTCCATGCTGCACACAGGGCACCGTCTCTTCACACTGCCTTCAGCCTGGAGCAGGCGCAGAACCTACTCCGGATGCCCTGAGATGGACAGAAGGGGTGGGGACCTGAGCCCCCAGGAGGGCCTGAGCAGCAGCCTATGGGACTCAGTCCGTGTCAGCTCCCTCGGGCTCCGTGACACAGCCCACACCTGAGGTGCCTACACAGTTGGAACCCATTGTGTTGAACTAGTGGAGGTGACAGCAAGGTAGCAGGCAGCAGGACTGGCCCTTCTGAAGGCCACAACGGAAGGGTCTGTCAGGTCCCTCTCCCTGCCTCCCGGGGCGCCTTCCCCTTCTGTGTCATCATGGCACCTTCGTCCTGTGCTCGCCTGCGTCCTGATGGCCCTTTTCATGAGGATGGCTGTCCTTTGGGAGGATTAGGGCCCCCAGCCTCATGTTCACTAATTACATCTGCAGCGACTCTGTCTCCAAATAAGGTTGCATTCCGAGTCACGGGACAAGGATGATTTACATAGCAGCTTTGAGGGGATTCATTTCAGCCTGTAGCAAGGACCACAGGGGAAATTCTGATATTTAAAGCACATTTCCAGAGGAATTGGCTGGCTTTTGGGGAAAAAATGAACAAAACCTTAAACAGTAGGACTGATCGTGTCGTGCCTGCACATCGGTGGGTTTAAAGCTGAGAGTCCACTGTGGCAGGCCCTTGGCAACTCTGTGGATTTGCTGAGCGTTTTCTGGCCTTAATTCTTTTTTCCACAATTTTGTTTTTAGTAGTCCGTGTTTGTAGTGCATGATGATTACCTTCCTCGTGGGGAGTGGGTGCATGAACATAGCACAACTTAATTCTTTTTTCATCTCCTTCCTCTCCCCACCCTCTCTCCTCCTTCCATCTCCTGGTCCTCTTCCCATTTGCAAAAGATCTGTCTCACTATTTCCTATTTTCTATCTCTTAATTTTTTCTTTTTTTATATGTTGCATTTCTCATGAGAAACCATGTACACTACTTAAGCTTATGTGTCTGATTTATTTCACTTAATATTATGATCTTAAGTGCATCCATTTTCCTACAAATGACTCAAGTTTCTCCTCCTTTATAATAGAGTAGTACTCCACTGTGTGTAAATACCACATTTTCTTTATCCATTCAGCTGTTGAGGGACATATAGGCCATTTCCAAGATTTAGCTATTATGAATTGTGCTGCTATAAAGTATGCATGTGTAACAAATGAATAGAGGCTTCTCAGAAGAAGTAAAAGTGGCCAATAAATACATAAAAAATGTTCAACATCACTGACCATTAGAGAAATGCCAAATAAAGCAACACTGAGATTTCCCCTTCCTCCAGAAAGATTGGCATCATCAAGAAATCAAACAACAAATCCTGGCGAGGCTGTGGGCACAAAGGAAGCCTTCTCCATTGTTGGTGGGAATGTAAACTGGTACAATCACTATGGAAGTCAGTGTAGAGATTCCTCAGAAAACCCAAACTAGAAATTCCATTTGACCAAGGTATTCCCTTTCTAGTTATCTTCCCAAAAGAGTTAACGACATATTACAAGGATATGTGCCTTAATTCTCTCGATGGGGCCATTAATCAGCCACTAAATGTTGCCATACAGTATTTGTATGTAACCCACAAAACCACTTTAAATTCTTCTTGGAAGGGTGAGCTGCATAATTGAAACAAAGCTCTTTCCTGCTGCTTGGGCCCAGTGTTTGTTTCTTTCCTTTTCCTGTTTGCCCTGGCTATCATACTGCCTGCTCCTTTCCCTTCCCCTTCCCTTTCCCTGGTGGTCTTAGGGCGTCCTCTGGTTTTTAAAGCCAGAGCTCCAAAGGTCCCATTAAAGTGGGGAAAGTCCTGTAATTTCAGCTAGTGAAGGGAGCATAGAAAGAGTTACTCAGATTCATGTGACCCAAGTGCTATCTCTGATGTGCTGGGCTCCAGGAGGACTGGCTGTCCCCGGAGAGTATGTCCTTGAGCAAATAAACTCCTTAATCTGAAATGCTTGGTGCAAGGATTCTGCTCAGGCTCCTAGCCAGATCCAAGAGCCGACTCCTTCTAAGACCTATACCTTATTGGCATGAGGCCACCTTTGTGTAACATGATAGATAAGCTAGCAGGGGAAAACCGGACTTTGGGAGACTCTCAGAACTGCATGCAGGGATTCTGCCTGGTGGGACCCTGAACAGCTGCCCTCTTGGGAGTCCCCCATCTGTCTTCGGGTGTTGAGGCACCACCCTGGCTGGTGCTGTATTACTTTGGTCATACTTTGCTTAACCTTGTAATAAAGCTATCTTTCCTTTTGCTTTCATGTGATGTGGTGCTCTTGAGTAGCTTGGTATGAACCCTTGCTACAGCAGCTAATTGGAAGGCTGAGGCAGGTGGATCAAAGGGGCAAGGCCAGCCTGGCAGTGTCAAGACCCTGTTTCAGAATTAAAAAATAGAAAAATAAAAAGGTCTGAGGATAGAGCTCAGTGGTAGAGCACTTGCCTGGAATGAACGAGGCCCTGGGCAGTACCACAAGTGAAAGAGGAGAGACATTTGGGAAGCTTAGTTCAGGGCTGTCTTTCGCCCCCACAGGGAAAGTCCTTAAGTCTCATCTGCGGGGCCCTGTCCTGGCTCCGTGACTTTGAGCAGAAGAAACAGCAAGAAGAGGTGCGCTGTCTCCTTGATCCTGGAGCCGGCCCCTTGCCTGAGGGGAGGGACCTGCGCCCCGAAGCCTCTTCTTCCTGCCACGCATCCCCTACCACCTCAAGGCCTGCAGGAGAGCCAGACTGGGTCACCCAGTTCGTGCAGAGGAAGGAAGAGAGGGACCTGGCGGAGCGAGTGAAGGTGAGGGCTGGGTATCGTCCTTAAGTTGGAGTGGCCTCTGCGTTCTTCTGAGCCTAGATCACCTGTCCTTCTCCAGGTCCCAGTCCCCATGCACCCGGGACCCATGGTTGCCCTTGGCACTGGGTCTGCGCCTGCAGATGCAGTGGAGTGAGGAGTCTGATCAGGGTGTGTCCTGGGAGGAGATGCAGACTTCCCACCCTAGGCAGTGAGGCTGACTGACAGAGTTTGAGGGCCTGGAAGGGGCTGCTGCAGCCCCCGTTGCTCTAGAGGCCAGCAGGGGTCCCTGCAGGGGTTTCCTCATGTCCCTGTCCCTGCAGGATGAGCAGATCAGGAGGAGGAAACGAGAGGAACGGCTGCAGCAGACCCGCCACAGTGCTCAGCTCAAGTATGCAGCCCGGGGCCGGGTGAGTGCCCGCCTGGCCCGCCATTGTCATACTGCCTGAGACTCGGCCTGGTGGCCAGGTCTCAGCGAGGCCGTGCTCCCCCGCCCATGGCCTCTTCGCCCAGAGCTGGGCAGCCAGAGCTGAGGCACAGAGTCCAGGATTGTGTTCCTTGCGGTCAAGCAGAGAAGCTGTGTCCATGGCCATGTTGGGGCCGTCCTTGGTGACAGCTGGGCTGAGGCTATCAGAGACCAGGGCCCCGGTGCTGAGCCTGCGCCTCGCCCCTTTTCTACACAGAGGCAGGAGGAAGAGGAGACCGAGGCGCTCCTCCGCCTCAGCAGGGAGATGCTGGCTGAGGGAGCAGGGGCGGAGCAGCTGGAGCAGCTGGAACCTGGGGAGGAAGAGCTGGTGCTTGCGGAGTACACCAGTGATGAGGAGCGGAGGGCAGCCAGTGGGTGAGACAGTGCTTCCATGTCACCCTGTGCCCCCACCTGTAGCCACACATGGGCTCGCCCTGGAAGGCAGCTCTTCCCTCCTGGAGGATCAGTTCTGGGCTCGACCTGCTTGGCCAGCTCTAGGTCCCGCGAGCTCAGCTGCCAGCCCGAGCCGTGTGGTGCTCAGGGCCCCACTGTCAAGGCCTCCCTGCTCCTGGTCCTCCTCCTCCTGCAGGCACCGTGAGCAGATGGGAGGTTTCTCTCCAACAGCTTCCCTTGCTGGGGGCCCGAGGCCACTCTAGCTAGGTCTGGGTCACAGGATAGTACAGAGAGCCTCCTTGGCATTGTAATTCCTCCATTGCCCCTGGCCTGTCCTCTGTCATGTGGCCTCGGTCAAATGCTGCTACTTGGAGTCGCCTCCTGACAGACACAGTGACCACAGTGTCAGTAACCGTGGGGACACTCGGGGCATGGGCAGGGAGTGCCCAGTGGGGCCGTGCCCCCGGGCAGGGCTGCACAGGCCCCCAGGAGCTGCTGTGAGGAGGAGCCTGTCAAGGCGGGAGAGGAGAGGTCCAGTCAGGGAGCTGCGTGTGCAGCGGGCTGGCACCAGACTAGGTGTGCATGCAGGGACCAGCAGAGAGTGAGGGAGGCAGGGATGCAGGGGCTGGGGACGGTGAGGTGGCAGCTTCTCTGGGCCCCATAGGCCAGATGAGGGCCAAGTCCCTCAGCGTAATGGGAGGCCCTGCAGGGACGGTTTACATAAGGCTTCTGGCTTCGAAGTCCATGGCTCTTCCCAAGGACGTGAGAAGCCCTGCAGCGTTGCCCCTTGTCGGCCCCCAGGTCAGGAGAGGACTGGCAGGAGAGCACCTGTCTGAATCCCTTGTTTTTTCTCCCTCTGTGGCTGGCCCTTCCTGCTGCAAGGTCAAGAACCTCCTGCAGAGGAACCTGGGTCCTGTGTGCTTCACACTGAGCTACACCCCAGTCCTTTAAAAATTATTTTTGTTTGGGGTCCAGGCCCTTTCTTGTGACTTGGGCTTGAGGATCTTGAGGAGCCCCTTCCCCCTTCTCCCCATATCCCTGGGTTGCACAGATCCGAGCGTCAGGGGAGGTGGGGCTGGAGCTCGCCTGGGGTATCCTGGTTGTGGGGAACCCTGCTGCTGGGTGAAGCTGTGCTGTCCACGCCCCTGCTCCCCCAGCTCAGTCTGTATCAGGAGCAGGGCTTCCTCAGCAAGTGCTCAGGCCTCTTCACTTGGGGTCCCTCGGTGGACCTGAGCTTGCAGACTCAGGTCTGAAGACTGCTGTGTTCTTCTCGCAGGGTGGATGAGGATGAGGAAGACCTGGAGGAGGAACACGTCACCAAGGTAAGATGCCGAGGCCTATGTCCTTCTCTGTGCAGCCACCCTGCACGTGTACGCGTGTGCCAGTTTTCTCTTTTCCTGTCCTCACTCTGAAGTCCCCAAGGAGAGGGAGTTTCCATCTCAGCCTCTGCCTCTCGCTGTGAGAAATGGCACCTCCACCTCCACGCTGTCCCCAGGAGAGGAGGGCTCTGTGCCACATGAAGGCTCAGCAGCAGGGACACTGCCTTCCCAAGGTCCCGAGTCCTCTGTGCTGCTGGGTCAGAGCCGGCCTGGCTGAAGGCCACAGTTGCATGGTGGCTTCCCTCAGTGCCATCTGATGCGGGGCAACGCTGTCTCACGAGGGACCTAGGGGCCTGTGTTTGTAGCCACTGTCCCTGTCCCCACAGGCCCGTAGGCCTCGATGTGCAGAGAGCATCTGGGGCTCTCGCGTCCCCTCTTTGACTTCCCCTTCCTCTGCTCTGGGCAGATTTACTACTGCAGCCGGACACACTCTCAGCTGGCCCAGTTTGTGCAGGAAGTTCGGAAGAGCCCCTTTGGCAAGGAAATCCGGCTGGTGTCTCTCGGCTCCCGGCAGGTGAGCAGTCAGGTGTCCCGGCCCAGGTGCCCTCCTGCCACCTCCCCTGTGCCTGCATCTTCCGGTCCAGGCGTGGAAAGACAGCGGGCTGAAGTGGCTGGGCGTGGGGAGCACAGCTGTCCCCTTCTTGCTCTCCTGGGAAGGAGGAGGACAGATGGGTTGGTGGGTCTGAGGCCTGTGTGGCATTTAGCCCGTACCGTTTCTTTACCTCTTTCTCTTGGCTTGTAGAACCTCTGTGTGAATGAAGACGTGAGGAGCCTGGGTTCTGTGCAGCTCATCAACGACCGCTGCGTGGAGATACAGAGAAGCCAACACAGTAGGCACCGGGACTGGGTGTGGCCGAGGCAGTCCTGGGCGGGGACTGAGGGAAGTCACAGAAGGGCTGCGGTGGGCTTGGGCCGACCGGGACATGGGAGAGTAGGACCATAGGGCCTTAAACACAAACCATGGCAGAGCAGGCCTGGCCCTCTCCCGAGAAAGGAAGGGGGTCTGAATGTCTGGGGCATTGTGGAGCCCAGTCCCTGGCTTGGAGATGGAGTTACAGGACATAGAGTGACATCCCAGAGTGAGCCGCTGACGCCGCTGCAGTGCTACCTGGAGGGTCCTGTAGGCCACCCCGTGGGAATGGGTCTCTGCGGCACCAAGCCCTCTCTTGCTCCCTGAGACGCTCGCGGTCCTTCTTGTCTTTGCTCCTGGCCGTGTACCACCGGCAGAGAGTAAGAGCAGAGCTGAGGAGGAGAAGCCAAAGAGACGGCGACAAGAGGCCCGGGCTGCCTGCCCCTTCTACAACCACGAGCAGATGCAGCTGCTCCGCGACGAGATCCTGGTGGAGGTGAGGGATGTGGAGCAGCTGGTGGCCCTTGGGAAGGAGGCCCGGGCCTGCCCCTACTACGGGAGCCGACTCGCCATCGCTGCAGCCCAGGTGAGCACTGGGGTGTGGCGGTGGCTCTTGCCCGAGAAGGGGTCCCCCTTCCTCTCTTCCTCGTTCATCTAAGGTTCCCCACCATGTGGCCAGCCACACATAGCATGCTCTCCTGAACATGGGGTTGGAGGGGCTGTGGATCCTTGGAGGCTCTGGGCTGCAAGGCCAGCTGGCGTTACTGGTGGACAGCGGATAGCCAGGGAGAGATGCACAGTGGGAAATCACCGGGGCAGGAGCTGAGTTCAGAACACAGAACACTGTAGGTGGCTTTTCAGGATGACTGTCCCCACGGGTACGCCTGCTGCACCACGTGACAGTGCTGGCATCAGACCTGCTATGCCTTTCACGGGAAAAGGTGCTCCTTTGCTACTTTGCAACTAAAAAATGGTAGCTCAGGGGCTGGGGCCGCATCTCAGGGAAGTGCATTTGCTGGTATGTGCAGGGCCCTGGGTTCCGCCAACACTGGAAAGAAACAAAAGGTACATTCATAGTGGGTAGGCATGGTTTGAATATTTTCTTGCTGTTTCCTTAATATGAGTCATTTTTGGAAATAGGAAATCACTTGTGGAGAACTGAGTGTAAATCAGGAAAAGATGTAGTGGATTTTGAAAGACGCAGAACAGTGTGAGCCCTAAACTCCAGGAGAACTGGAGCTGCCGGACTCTGAAGGGGTGTGAGGTTGGAGGGTGACTCATCAGCGAGCGACCCTAAACTTCGAGGGTGCTCACGGAGAAATGGAGGAGCCCCCCGCCTCCCCCGATGGCTGTCTCACACCTGTCCCCTGCTCTGTGTTCCACAAGGTGAGGCTGACGCTGGATCCTTTTGTGTGCAAATAGGATGCCTGGGTGGGTAGGATCTTCAAGTTTTTGAAGATCAGCTTTGACCTGCCTTTGCCTTCATATCCCACCGAGGTAGCCGAGTCCTGCACATGACCCTCAGGCCAGAGAGGCGAAAGCAGTTGACCTGTGTTGTCACTGTGAGTGAGCTACAGTGCCCACAGCAGAACCTGGACCTTAGGTCTCCTGGTTTCTCAGTATTTCCTACTGTTTATCAGGATTTTACCTGGAGAATTTTTTTCTTTTTTCAGCACTAGGGATTGAACCGAGGGCTTTTGTACTGAGCTGTATCCCCACCCTTTCCCCTTTTTTAAAAATTTTTTTTATCTTGAGACAGGGTCTCCCTAAGTTGCTAAGTTGCCCAGGCTGAGCTGGAACTTGCCATCCTGCCTCCGTCTCCCAGAGTGCTGGGCTGACAGGCCTGCACCTCCACACTGCCTTGGAAAATCTTTATAGCAACACGTACCTAAAAATTGACGGAGTGCTTTTGTTTTTCTTTTTTTGGTACCGGGGATCGAACTCGGGTCTTTGCACTTGCCCGCACAGCAGGCGGCGAAACCACTGAGCTCAGTCCCCGGCCCTGTGCTTTTGTTTTTGTTATCCCCTCACTCTTCAACTCTCAGTTGAGGCAGAGTTTGTCCAGCCACGTGGCAGGTGAGGAAACCGAGGCTCAGAGGTTAGACAGCTGTTCCAGTCGCACAGTCGGGGAGCAGCTGCTGTAGAACTAGAGGTTGTCGGTGGTTCCTGGGACCTCAGGGACCCCTGGGGGGCTTAGTTAAGACTGAGCAGCAGGGGTTCCCTGTTTCCTGTCCTCCTTGGTCCCCTTCTGAGTCTGTGAGCTCCAGGTCTGCCGCGCCTGTATTCTGAGATGGGCTGTTACACAGGCACAGGCCTACGCGGTAGCTTTCTCTCCTGCGTCTCCTTACACACGTCCAGGCAGGAAACCACGCAGCTCATGTTAGGACTGAGGCAGGTGGGCAGGTTCCCCGTGGGCCCAGCCTGGCAGCACCACAGCCGCCACCTCTCCCCTCCAGCTGGTGGTGCTGCCCTACCCGATGCTGCTGCACGTGGCCACGAGGCAGGCTGCGGGCATCCGGCTGCAGGGCCAGGTCGTCATCATTGACGAGGCACACAACCTGATTGACACCATCACGGGCATCCACAGCGTGGAGGTCACCGGGTCCCAGGTGGGTCAGCCTGTCTGGGGTGGTGGGGCGCAGGTTGTTCTCCAAGGGCTGGACCCTCATTCCTCCGAGGACAGTACTTGGCAGAGCCACACGGAGGCTGACTGGCCAGCTGGGACGGTGGCCAGAGAGCAGCAGGAGTCTTGAGTTCGTGGCTCTTGTTACTGTTGATGTTGCTTCAAGGGGATTTAATTGAAGGCTCGAGAGCTGTGGGAGTTTCTCTCTGTAATCCGCTGCATGCTGTGCACGGCACCAGCTGCCTCTGCTCTTCACGCTGACCCTCCAGGGGCCAGGAGTCCTAATTGACTTTGGGAGCTTGGAGATTCAGAGGGGAGGCTGTGCTGAAGTCACAAAGTGTAGGAGTGGGAAACTGGGAGGAGACCGCTGGTTACGTACCTGCTGACCAGGGCCTGGGTGACCTTAGGCCAGGGTGTGATGGTTTCCATGAATATCACTCTTGGGAAACCCAGGTCTTTCCTCATCCAGTAAAAACCAACAGGGAGATTCCTTACCTGAGGGTTTCAGCCTCTTGCTTTGCCCAGGCAGGAAGCGGCTGCACACTGAGCAGAACTTCCTGTCCCCTCAGCTCCATCAGCCCAAGGGGCACAAACCCTTGCTTTGTGGGTTCCCAGTTCCCACTCCCCATGGCTGCGGCGGCTCCTGTGAGTCCTGGGCTGCCATTTTCCTGGCCCAGTGTCAGCTCTCCCTGGCACAGCCCTCACTACCTGTCCAGAGACTAGTCTGGTGTCCGTCAGGGTATTTGTGCTTTCTCTCCAGCTCTGCCAGGCCCATTCCCAGTTGCTGCAGTACACAGAGCGGTACAGGTTAGCTGTGGGCCCCGTGGTGGAAGGAAAGCCCATCAGCCTCTACAGGATGTGCTTGGGTCGCTGCCCCTGGCCAGGTCATGCAGGATCACCTTGCTGTCCAGGTCCTGGGTCCATCCTGGGTGCCCCCGCTGGGCCTAGGCTTCTTGGGATGGGACTGCTGGCTCTTTGGGGCTGGCTGGCCTTTTTTCTGGGGGTGGCTATAGTCTATGACCCTGTCCCAGGGGCAGCAAACAAAGGCCTCAGCCAGGCCAGGTAGAGGGGAGCCCTGGGGGAAACCCCCCCGCCCACGTCTGTGGGTTTCTCCTCAGGAAGCGTCTGAAGGCCAAGAACCTGATGTACATCAAACAGATCCTGTATTTGCTGGAGAAGTTTGTGGCTGTGCTGGGAGGTAGGCACGAACCCCCCCCGCCCCAGTCCCCTACCTTTTCCTTGGAAGTCACTGGGGACCCTGAGATCCTCTGTGGGCGTCAGCTGTGTCTTGGTCATTGATCTGTGAAAGTCTCATTCCTTCTAGCTTAGGCGAGCTGTCTGACCTTACATCCTAGTTCATTAGCCTGCGCTCTCTGCCCTTTATTCCACCACACTCTTCTCTGTGGCTCTAACAGTGACACCGCATTTGAAGTGCATGACGTTTTATGACCGAGTTACAGTCTCGCAGCATCTTCAGAGCCCTTGCACAGCCGCAGTTTGATTTCCCCATGAGGGGAGCAGCCTGTGCGTTTGAACCCTGGTCCATAGATGAGTCACTGAGCTGAGCGCCTGTGCGTGCAGTGGCGCCTTCGAAGGCAGGGAGCCGGTGGGGTCTGTGGGGGTCTCACCCCACGCCGGGCACCTGGCTTCTTCTGCCTTGGCCCTGCACCCCGTGGCCCAGGCAGCCCCTGTCTGCTCCCTGTGGGCGGCCAGCTGCCCTGCCTGCAGGAGGAGGTGTGGAAGGAAGGGAACGGCAAGGCTCTGGGTTCCATGTGTGTCGGGCCTGTGAGGCCGCCTGGAACCTCCTGCCCGCTCTGTGTGTTCTTTTCCTGCTGCAAATGAGCAAAAGCAAACCAGCCACCAGGGCCTGCTGAGACGGGAATGCTGGAGTCCCATGAGTGCCCTGGAGATGATGAGAAGGCAGCGAAGTGGGGGCCAGGCGACTCCCACCCTGACCTGTTCGCTTCTCTCTTTTAGGGGACATCAGGCAGAACCCCAACACACGGAGCCTCTCGCAGACAGGTGAGTGACCTGAGCTGCTCTGTCAAGGGGCACTGAAAGCTGGGCTCCAGAGCAGGCTCCCAAGATCCTTGTCTTGACTGCTCTCAGGGACGGAGCTGAAGACCATCAACGACTTCCTCTTTGAGAGCCAGGTGGACAACATCAACCTGTTCAAGGTAGGGCGCCACCTTGTGATCCTGGCACGTCACGTTTCCTTCTTAGTGCCAGCTGCAGGCAGCTGCTGCTTTAAGATTATAGAAGGAATAAAAAGCAAAGTCCCCTGTCATCAAGCAGCCTGAGGTCTGAGGACCCAGTAACTCTACAGCGTTAGCTGCCTAGGGACAGAGCACTCCCTGTGTTCTGGGTGGCACCAGGGCCTGTGACTCCCACACAGGACCTCCTGTCATCTGAGAGCAGAGAAAACCAAGGCTCAGGAAGGAGTCCGGGGAGGGTGACAGGTGGGGCCGTGGCAGCGCAGCACCCGAGCCAGGAGCCTGCGTTCTCCCTTCCGGCTGCCTGTTTCCCACTTTTCTTCTGTCCCCTCCTTTTACTTGACTTCACAAAGTGCAGTCACGTGGGTCTCCGCTTCGAGGTGTCGCTGTGTAGAACCTGCACCTCCACCTCAGTACTCGGAGCTGAGATCGGCCCCTGCTGCGCGTGGGGTCCACACCACCGGGACTGCACTCTGCCTCTGAACAAGGCCCAGACTGCACGTGCTGTAGGGAACAGGGAAAGGGGACATTACTAGAACCTCTGCAGTAAGTGCTAGTCTCCTGCGAGCCACGGCGGCACAAGCGAATTAACTTATTATGCAGGAAAGATAGAAAAAGGAGACTGAGCAGAAGCTGAGCTTTGGGTCTGATCAGTGCTGCTCTGGGCGGCAGAGACAAAAGCCCCCCGGCTTACCGCACCTTGTATTCAGTCCATCGGGAGAAGCAGATGTGACAGATGACTGGGGAGTGGTGGAATTCCTAGATCAATGAGGAACTGTGCAGATGAAGATTTGGTTCCTCCCAGGATGTCCCCCGCTGGTGTGGTCCTGCCCTGGAGAATCACAGCATCAAGGGATCCTTGAGGTCTCAGTTGTGACCGGGGCCAAAATGGAATTCTGTCTGGAATGCCACAGCTGGGCGGTAGGCGGGAGAACTAGGCTAACCAAATGATTTTCCCCAAAACTATGTAGCATTGCTCCTGACATCTTGGATTTTGCCTTAGCTCGTAGGGTTTGTTTTTTTTTAAATCTGAGTTCCTCAGCCACTGTCACTGGGAAGGAAAGCAGGGGGATGCAGCGTCTGTTCAGACCCTCAGAGAGATCAGAGCTGTCAGAACAGTTTGTGAGGCCACGGGTGTGGGGCTGTGCTGAGCCCTCATAGGGGGCCCCATGGGCAGGGTGCGGTGGGTGGGGGCCAGGCCCCCGGGAGCCACCGCCTCCTCACGGCAGGACGCTTTTGCAGGTGCAGCGGTACTGTGAGAAGAGCAAGGTCAGCCGGAAGGTATGCATTTCCTGCCTCGGGACCCAGCGGGCTCTGACTCCGCTCCCCAGACTGGGGAGGACGTGGGCCCCAGCCCTCTGGAGTCCCTGCTTCACGCTGTCACCCTCTCCTCTTGACCAGCTCTGTGGCTTCACGGAACGCTATGGCGCTGTCCTCCCGCCGCCCCAGCAGCAGTCCAGACTGGCTGGGCTCCAGCACTTCCTGCAGAGCCTGCAGCCCAGCACGACAGAGGGTGAGTGAGGAGGCAGGGCCACTAGCGGGGCTGCAGGCCTGGGTGGTCCTGGACCACCCTCAGGAGGCCCCTGCCTCTGTCCTCCTCCTGCTCCGCACAGCTCCTGCTGCCCCCTTGGAGGAGGCTGAGCCCGGAGCTGTACGTGCTGCATCCCCGCTGATGCATATCGAAGGCTTCCTCTCAGCACTCACCACCGCCAACCAGGACGGCAGGGTCATCCTGAGCCGCCAAGGTACTGAGCTGCTGGCCCGCGCAGGCTGCTTCCCAAGGAAGGGCCAGGCTGCAGCAGGGAGCTGCGCGGGACTGCGGGCACAGCCCACCCCGCCTGGCTTCGCGGGGGGCAGTGGGGCAGTGGCTGCCCCGATGGCCAGGGCCAGCAGTGGCCCTGTTGGTAGGGAGTCGCCTACCCGTTGTGTGACCTGCACCCGTTGCTCTCTGGACCTGGCTCTGCTCGAGTGGAAGGGAGACGGCAGCACCGTGCGCCTTGGTGTTTGGCCCGGAGGGGAAGTGGGGCTCGACGCACCTTGTCAGCCCTCGTGTGTCCCATCTGTCCTCCTTTCAGGCAGCCTCAGTCAGAGCAGCCTCAAATTCTTGCTCCTGAACCCAGCCGTGCACTTTGCCCAGGTGGTGAAGGAGTGCCGGGCGGTGGTCATCGCAGGTGGTACCATGCAGCCGGTAAGGACCCAGCCCCAGCCCCAGCCCCAGCCTCTCGTGCCCTGGGTGCTGGGGTGGCTCCGGGAAGGACGCAGCATCAGTCGGGTCCTCCCTATGTCCCACCCCCATCAACCTGAAAGAGGTGGCACTTGCAGGCCCAGCGGTGACCTCTAGGTGGCACTGCTGTGGCTTCCCATGGCCTGTGCCTGCGGAGCTGGCCTTTCTGTGGCCCAGGGCCCTGCTGCCCCCAGGGAAAGCCTTTCTGTCCCAGACCCTCAGTGCCTCCCTGCCGGTCCCTTCCTGCCCCACCACAGAGGTGTCAGCCTTCTGAGTTTGTTGTGATACAGATTTTTTAGGTTTCATTGTAGAAATCAGGGAGGAGCAAAGTGGGGGGAAGTAGGTGATAATTCCATCCACAGAGATGACATCATTGCAGTGGCCGTTCAGTGGTTAACTCTTACAGGTGTGCACGTATTTTGAAAACAAAAATGGGATTATCTGTCCATGCTGTTACAGTTCGCTTTTTCACTCAGAAACAAGACATCACGAACATCTCTCCCCATCAGCAGGGATGACTTTACTCCTCCGTGCTCTCCCCTCCCTGTTTCCCAACCCCATGGACTTGGTACATTTCCTGTTTCCTCTCCTGTGTGTGAGCTGTCAGGCTGCCCCCAGTTGTTCTGTGTTCTGAACAGCACGTGGTGAATGCAGCCGAATCTCTGCCCGGGAGCCGTGTCCCTGACAGACAGACACTGTGCCGGGCTGTGGGTCCTGACCTCCTTCCTCAGCCTCTGCTGCCTGCTCCAGTCACCACTGTTGCTCTCTTGTTTTGTTCTTGTTATTATCCAGATTTGTAGATTTTTATTTATCCTGTCTTTCCAAGTTGTCTGCAGTCATTGCTTTTGACGATCAAATCTCAGAATTGGCACTGAGAGCCCTGCCTGCCTGCCTGCTCTGGTCCAGTGGAGGAGACCCAGGCCTGGCACCTTCTCCCTGTCACCCACCACAGGACGTCTCGGTGATGGGCGACCCACGTGCTCCTGATTGTCACTGTGCATGGGCCCTTTCATAGGGACACCTAGGAAATGCATTTTCACAAGTGTGTCTCCATTGATATTTCTGAATCAAAATCAAAGAATTCACTTTATTCGACCTTATATTTATGTCTCAGGGCAGGCAGAGGATGGTGGTGTAAACAAACATGCATTCAGTGACAGCAAAAGAAATATGATTTTGGTTGCTGGATGAATATTTGGTTTCTTACTAGATTAACATAACTGTTTGTTCAGTTCCCCGATGTACTTAAAATAGCTTCAAAATTATACCATTACTTCTGACAGTAGATCTGCTGGCCGCAGGTTCGTTCCTCTGCCTTCATGGTCCGCCCTCTCAGGGTACAAAGTCGCTTTCCAGGCTTTTCTCTCTGTGCTTCTGTTATTAGTCTAACAGGTCTCTAGGAACTTTTTTGACTTCCGTTTGGTTAGCTTGCTTTTTTCTCTTTTGACCTAATTATGTCAAAACATGTAACCATCCATGCACCCTATAAAAGCACAGGGTCTCACCTGTGTCCTTCACCAACTTGTTTTTCGCCCCACGGGAAATCATAGTCATCTGCTGCTGTAGCTTTTTGTGTTTTCGTTGGGTGGTGTATGTTTGGTTGGAGAGACTTTTTTTATACTCTTTTGCTAAAATAAGCAAATATGTGCATAGTCTTTCCTTTTTATTTGCACAAAAGACACTGGGAGCTGTGGTTGCTTCGATCGCTGTCCAGTAGCTCAGCAAGGTCCACGGGCTCAGCTGCTGCTGCTTCTGTGTGGGTGGATGAAGCACTGCTCCTGCTGCCAGCCCTGCCCTCCCACGGGCAGTCTTGCTATGAGACAGCTTCCGAGGAAAACCCTCTTCATAGCGAAGTGCTGTCTCTGAGGTGTATCTTCAGGGTAGACTCCCACATACGTACGATATTGCTGGGTTAAAAGTGAAACTCCACCTGACTTGCTAAGTCCTGTGCAATTCCCCTCCCTAGGGTTGTGTTGTGTAGCCCACCGGCAATGTCTGAGGTCTGTTCCTCCAGTGATGCAGCTTTGGGGTCTTTGCAGTTGGATAGGTGATTCTTCAGTGCTTGGGGCTGGGGCCCTGTGGAGTTAAAAACTTTCCTGTGGTGATTTCGATCTGAAGTCAAGGTTGAGACCCCCATGCCAAATCAGCCGCATGTCTTCTGTGTCCCCACGGCTGTCTGAGGAGGCTGCCAACACTGGGTGTCATTAATATTCATCTTCTTTTTGATAATTCGTCATCAGTCTTTCCTGGCTCTTTTCCTGTGCAATGTCCTGGCTGCCACCCAGCCCAGACTTCCTGCTCCGCTCCCTGCTGATCCCCCACAAATGCCCTTCATGCCAGGGCCAAGGTCCCTTTCCCTAGTCCTCTGGACGCCATACACCTGACTGTGCCCTGCAGGTGTCTGACTTCCGGGAGCAGCTGCTGGCCTGCGCCGGGGTGGAAGCAGAGCGCGTGGTGGAGTTTTCCTGCGGTGAGCAGCCGTGTTAGGGGTAGGCTGGGCAAGACTCTGCACTGCGACCTCTGCTCACTGGGCTTTGCCACTTGCTAGGCCCTGGCCTCGGACACCACAGGGTGGCTTGTCACCAGCTCTCTTCCTGCTCTCTCACTCTGTGACCCACCGTCTGCAGTATCCACCTTTATTGTAGCTGAGACACCCCGAGTGTGGGTTGAAAACCCTGTTCCTGGTCTGGGACATGGGTGGGAAACCCCTCCCTGAACTCTGCCTGGTGGAACAATTTCCAGCCCCTCTCTGGGTGTCACCAGGTCACGTGATCCCGCCAGACAACATCCTGCCCCTCGTCCTCTGCAGCGGGCCCACCAACCAGCAGCTGGAATTCACCTACCAGAAGAGAGAGGTGCCTGCTATGGTGGGTGCAGCCAGCACTTCCACAGACCCCCCCCAGGGCATAGCACAGCTTGGGGTCTGCGGCCAGTCCCAGGATTGGGGAAGTTGGCCCTGATGCACCTGTTCCACAGGCACCAGATGAGTGGCATCTCTAGGGGTTTCTCAGGGAAGGTGTGGGCCGCTCCACCCCTCAGCCACTAAGTGATCTCCCTCAGCCCTCCAGGTGTCCCTTTAGGAGGCTGCCCATTCCCTTAGTTCCCTTGGTTCTGTCAGCCCTGCCCTGGGCAGGGTGCAGGTGTGGGACACATCTCCAGCCACCTATGTGGGGACCAGTGACTTCCTTGTCATGGATGCTGCCTGTCGGGACATGGGGCTGGGGCACGTGGTGGTCTGACACTAGCACTGTGTTCTCTCTGGGTGCTGGCGTTGGGACCTGTGTCGCAAAGGCAGTTTGCACCTAGTGCTGGGTGGGCACGTTTGCCAGGAGGCTGGCATATCCACCTTCTGGTTCCACTCTGGGCCAGGTGGCCACAGTCCTCCTGGGCCCAGGCATGCCCTAGGTAGAACTCTGTCCTCGGCTTGGAGCCCAGGGTGTGTGGTGTCCCAAGGGCCTGTTCCACAGGGTTCCCATCTGCACCTAGATGGACGAGGCGGGCCGCATTCTCTGCAACCTGTGCAACGTGGTCCCCGGAGGACTGGTCTGCTTCTTCCCTTCCTATGAGTACCAGCACCAGGTCCTTGCCCACTGGGGCAAGAGTGGCCTGCTGACTCGCCTGGCTGTCAGGAAGAAGGTGAGGGGCCCTGCACCTGGCACCCCCTCCTGGGTGGCAGTGCCCCCGGAGCTTCTGGGTCCTCACGCTCTGTGAAGCCACGTGGTTCCCCTTCTCCTGGGCCCTCGCTGCACCACTTCCATCTCTGGTCTCTGGGTCCTGGCCAGAGGGATGCCCACAGCTGGACTCCATGAGGGTCCTGTCCCCAGGGTGCAGAGCACGCCCTGGAACAGATGTAAGACCCTCGTTCCTCAGCCCTTTCCTGGGAGACTGTCTTCTCCTCCAGATCTTCCAAGAGCCCAAGAGAGCCGGCCAGGTGGAGCAGGTGCTGGCGGCGTACGCCAGGTGCATTGAGGTGAGGGGCAGAGGCCGGGTGCGGAGGCCGGGTGCGGGGACCGCGCGGGGCTGGCACCATCCCTGCCCTGTCTTAGTGCCCTGGGGGGGTCTTGCCGCAGAGCTGTGCCCGGGCGAGCGGCCCTGGGACCGGGGCCCTGCTCCTCGCTGTGGTCGGAGGGAAGATGAGTGAAGGGATCAACTTCTCTGACGACCTGGGCCGGTAGGTGGGCTCTTCCCTGCTGGGGCTGAGAGCTCGGGGCCCTGGCTGCAGTCTGCTGCCGCCGAGTCTGCACCCAGCCCGGCTGCTCGGGTCCTCCGGGGTGGCGTGGATCACGGGAGTGAAGGAAGGGGTGTGGGGCCTGTGGAGCGGGCAGCGAGGCAGACCGTGGCCTCGGAGATCTGATTCCCTGGCCCGGGCTGTCACCGCGCATGCTCACCCAGGTGCGTGGTGATGGTGGGCATGCCCTACCCCAGCATCAGGGCTCCCGAGCTGCAGGAGAAGATGGCCTACTTGGACCAGCGCCTTGTGAGTCCTGTGAGCTGCCAGAGGGGCGGGGGCCGGAGGAGAGCGGGCTCACCCCAGGCCCGGGACTTCGAGGCTCTGCTGTGAGCCCTTCGGAGGTGTGGGGATGCAGGCCTTGCCTTCTTGCTTCTCCACAAGGTCAACCTTCTGCTGGCCTCGCCCGTGAGGCCTGGGTCTTTCCTCGGGGACAGGAGGGATCCCAGGCAGGGGGCGACAGACCCCTCTGCTCATCTGTCCCCTTTCCCGCCGCAGCCTGGCACCCCTGGGCAGGTGCCCCCCGGGAAGGCCCTAGTGGAGAATCTGTGCATGAAGGCTGTCAACCAGTCCGTAGGTGAGCCTGGGGCTGTCCTGGCCCTCGATGCACAGCCGGGGACGGATGGACAGCGGGGAGGAGGTGACAGGCAGGGCCTTTACCTGCCCTCTCCCACCTGAGGGCCGAGAATGGAGGGACACAGAGGGTGCACGCTGTGGGGAAGGCAGGTTGAGCTCGGAGCCGCCTCTGTGCCACCCAGGCAGGGCCATCCGGCACCAGAGGGACTTTGCCAGCATCGTGCTCCTGGACCAGCGGTACGCCCGGCCCCCCGTCCTGGCAAAGCTGCCCGCCTGGATCCGAGATCGTGTGGAAGTCAAAGCCACCTTCGGCGCTGCATTTGCTGCGCTGCGGAAGGTCAGCCCAGCCTTCTTTCTCCCCGGCCCCCCCACCCAGAGATGTGGTTTCTTTTTCTTTTTTTGGTACCGGGCATCGAACTCGGGTCCTTGCTCTTGCGCAGCAGGCGGCGAAACCACTGAGCTCAAGCCCCGGCCCCGAGATGTGGTTTCTTACGGCCTCTTCCTGTGCCCACAGTTTCACCGGGAGAAGGTGGGGCCCTCCTGATGGCGGCCACATCGCTACCTGCCCCGGTCCCTGCCGTGCCTGAGAAAGTGGCTCCACACCGGCCCCCCAGAGCCGGCAAGTGCCAGGGTCCAGGGGTCCCAGTGAACCCAGCAGGAGCCGATTGAGCTCCTCCCTTGGGAGCAGTGGGTTCTGCCATGCTGGGGCCCAGCCCAGGACAGCTCATGCTGGGACTCTCCCCACCCAGCGTGGCCTGGGGTCAGCTTCCTGACACTGCCCCTACCCCTCCACAGCACCCACCTTCCCAGAGGCTATGCCCACCTGCCCTTCCCGGCACTTTCAGAGACCCTGTGTTTGTCACCGAGACCCTGGAAGGTGCCCTCCCTCCCTGCACCTGCTCTCAGCACCCCTCTCCTCGCCCCAGTCCAGCCTTAGTCCCCCTGAGCCTGGAGCCCATGGGGAGCAGGACAGGCCTGGCTCCAGGGGACGCGCTGAACTGCCTGGCCACGTTCCTGGTGCACAGCGCACTCTGCTCGGTCTCGGTTCTCATGTCACCTCTTTATTGATTCCTGGTGCATCAGTGATTTCCTCTCCAACCTCTTTAGTGAGGACAGCGGCGCTGTGGTGGGGCGGCACCACTCAGGCAAGGCCCAGGCACGGCACCGGGAAGCCCCAGCTCCCTGCTGGTTCCTGCTGCACAGCCAGAGCCAGGGCTCAGGGGTGTGGGAGGGCTCGGGCGCCGGGCCCCTAGGACTCCCAGTCGTCCTCGTCCTCCTCTCCCGGGGCCTGCTGTGGGGGCGGCAGAGGCGGGATGGAGTCTGACATGCGGGCGAAGGCTCCTCCCGGGCCCTCGCTGGCTGCTGTCCCTGGTCCTTTCCCAGAGATGCCTGGGAGGGAAGGGCTGTTAAGTGGGGTTGGTTGGGCACAGGTTTGCCCGCTCCTGGAGACAGGATGTGCAGAATACCCCAGGTCCCCCAGGGAGCTGCGTGTCCCCTCGTACCTTTGCGCCTCATGACCAGCTTGTTAAAGAGATCCGACATCAGGTCCCCGCCCTGGCTCGTGGCTCTCACTGCAGGGGAAGCTCAGTGAGGAGGGTTCGGGACGGGAGGAGGCCACCCTCGGGGGGCTGAGCTCACCCCAAGTACTCAGAGTACTTCCTGCCCCAACCACTCCTTGGAAGCTCCGGGGCAGGACTCTGTTCTCCGGGGGAGGGGCTTGAGCTGGCTGAGCCGAGAGGACGCCCCACGCAGGAGCCCAGGATGCGGACGTCAGGGTGGCCGCCCAGGCCTCCCTCGAGCACCCTGGGGAAGCTGGGCCAGGCTGGCCGAGGCACCCGCCTGCCTGCTGGGTAGGCGGCACCCTGGGGTCCCCAGGACTGGAGGGAGACCTTCGCTTGGAGCAGCGGGAGGAGGGCCGCACCTTGCTCCTGCTCCTTCTGCTTCTTCTTCTCCAGCTTGCGCTCTTTGACGCTGCGCAGCTTGGCCTTGCCGATGCCCCCAGCTTGGCGGATGGACTCCAGCAGGGTGGCCCGGCCACTGGAGGGGAGCACCACCTCCTTGGGAGCCCCCTGGAGTGCTGCTGGGAAGGGGGAGGGCAAGGTGCGGGAAGCTGGGGCTTCCGGCCCATAGGGAGTCAGAGCCTGGTGTCCAGCCGTTTGTGTCCCTCCCCCCCGCCTGGCCCTTCAGGTGCCACCCTGCAGTGGTGGGCCCTGGGAATCACTGGTGTGCTGATAGATTACCACTGTGACAAGTGGACCAGCAAGACTTCTGTGCCTCTTCTGGAGGCTGTACATAGATTGGGAGATGCAATATTAAACCAAAGTTCTGAAATTTCCATTTTCCAGTAGATCTTTTTATGCTGGTTCAGCCCGGAATGGGGGGCACAGCCCCACCTTTCCAGCCCCGCCAGGAGGTCAGAATTCCAGAGCTCTGCAGTCTGGAAGTCACTGTTTAGGAACCCAGTGCAATAAAACACTGGATGTGGAAACTTGTGCAGATCTAGGATCCACAGCTGCGTCACCTACAGATGCCTGGCCCTACCTGAAGGAGGGGTGCTGCTGGGGTCTTCTGGGGGTCCTGGGATGGTCAAGGCTGCACTCTGGGGGGGCAGGCCTGGGGGTACGCTGGCTGGCACTGCAGGCGCTGGCGGCGGTGGCGGAGGCGGCGGAGGCGGCGGAGGTGCTGTGAGACCCCCGCCCTCTAGGTCTGAAACAGATGTAGGCTGAGTCAGGGCGCTCCCGGGCCCAGCCCCACCCTAGTGCCCAGCTCACCTGGCCTGCAGGGCTCCGCCACCTCTGTCTGGAAGGTGGGCAGCTCAGGGATGGTGCCAGGGGCAGAGGGGGCGATGCCTGGGCCCAGGTCAGCGCTGTACATGAGGTCATCGGCGATGCCGGGCAGGTCCGGCAGGTAGGATGGCACATCGATCTCGGGCACCTGGCCCAGGTCTGGGACATAGAAGTAGTTCTCTGGAACCTGCGGGACCCAGGAGGGGACCTGTGAGCAGTGGCCACACGGTGGGGACCTGGTCTGCAGTGTCACCTTGGGGGCCAGCAAGCCCTCCACACGCCAGGATGGGCCCTGGCCGCCAGCCCCCTCCCGCACCTGCTGCTCCAGCTGCTCTCGCTTGCTGATGGACAGAGGGGCATCAAACAGCTTCTCCTCCGTTTCTGTCCCCAGCGTCAGGTGGGTTTTTGTGACAGCCCCCGCCAGGGGGTCCAGGAAGACGTACTTCTTGTACCTGTGGGGTGGGTGGGGTTCAGGCCCCTGACCACCCCTCCCTGGTTTGGGGGTGGCACTTGTTCGGTGGTGCCCAGGCCTTACCGGATGCTACACCCACCCTGCACCGGACCTGACGCCCTGGGCTCCCACCCCCCACCCCTCTGAGCCCCCTCCCAGCCCTACAGGTTCTCTGTGGTGTTGAACAGCAGCAGGGAGCTGACAGAGCTGATGTTGCTGGGGAGACCCCCGAGCCCCTCCTCGGTCTCATCCTCGGGCTCCGGCTTGGTGCTCACACACACGGGGAAATACTTCAGCTTCTCCTGGGGTGGCGGCAGGGATGCAGGGAGGTTCAGCGCCGGGCACCCCACGCTGTCCCAGCCAGAACCCTCTGAGGTCAGCGCCCCACACCCTGGCCTGGGCTGTGGCCCTCGAGGCCCCCAGACCTGTAGGGCCCGCTCATCCAGCGGCCGGTGCTTGCTCTGGATGCGATGGCGTGGCCGTCGCTGTAGGCCTGGGTCCTGCGCACCGGCGAAGATGGAGCTGTACTCCTGCAGGCGCTCAGGAGCCGGATACTTGGCGCTGGAGAACACCTGTCAGCACAGCGACACCCGAGCGGCTGAGAGGCTGGAGAGCCTTCGGGTGCTCAGGTGCACAGCAGGCCCGGGGTGGGGGCAGAGCCTGGCAGGAAGCAAGGTCAAGGCAAGGCTGACCACGGGGCGCAAGGAGGTGCAGACGTAGCGTGGGACGCAGGCTCTAGCTACCTTGATGGCCTTCTTGCTGCCCTTGATCTTCTCAATCTTGGCCTGGGCCAAGGAGATCCTCTCCCCAACGACCTGCAGCTGGCTGCGGCTCAGCTCCACGCGCTGGGAGATCCTGAAAGGAAGGAGCACAGAGGCTGGGACTGCACCGCACCAATGGCCTTCCCCCTCCTGCACACTCAGCAGGGCGCTTGCGTCCAGGCTCTCAGATTGGCCCCATCTGCTCCTCAGGGCCTGTTACTGTCCAGGTCGCCTACTATGAATGTCCTAGATGGGGGTCTCCACCTTCATCCTACTAGTTCCTCGGGACCCAAGTTGACATCTGCTCGTGACATCGGAGGGCCACAGTTCCGCCTCCGGGTGTCCATGCTACAAGCAGGGGCAGGCAGAGCCCATCGTGTCCCACCCACAGGATGGACAGCCGATACAGCTGGCAGAGCCCTGGCACCGTCCCACAGAGCCATGTGGGGTGTGCAGAAAGCGGCCTCTTTGCAGAGGAAACAGTTCAGCCAGGCTGAGTGGGAATCCAGGCCTGACTGGCTGCCAGCGCCTCACCCAAACCCCAGCCCTGCTGAGGAACAGACCCTGCGTATCCGTACAGGCTATGGGTGGCCCTGCTCCTCACCCCTCCACCCTCCGGTGGGTGATCCCAGCCGCCCTGCTGTCCCCTGACGGGAGACAAATGCAAACAGGTCTCATGGCCCCTACATATGCAGGCTCCCACATGGCTGGTTGTCTCCCTACAGTCTGATCACGGATGCCTCCGAGTTGCCATTTGCTGGCGGCAGGAGGAGGTGCAGGAATAGCCCCTCCTTCCCCTGCGAAAGAGCAGAGCCAGGACTGGGGTTAGGTGGGCCACAGGAAACCCTGGGTTCCACAGGACGGTGGGCCATGACCTCTCGGGCACTTGTGAGGAGAGCTTCCGGACCCAGGGCTCCTCCCACACAGGGCAGCCAGGAGTCCAAGGGGCTTCTCAGTGGTACCTTGCTGGGCACCGGGTGGGGCAGCACCCACCTGCTGAAGATGTCTCCTGAGACCTTCTGCAGGTACTGCAGGGCATCAGCCACCTGCTGCATGGCTTCCTCTCGCCGCAGGTCTGGCTGGATGAGAGGGACAGCGTAGGTCTGGCCGGCCAAGGAGTGCTGGGTCCTCACCATGGCCATGGTGCCTGTGGGTGGGAGTCCGAGCATTAGGACTGGGGACCGGGAGTATTCCTGTGACAGACTGGGCCATGGCCAGGGACCCCAGATACAGGCGAGTCCAGGCCAGTGTGAGGAGGGCCTAAGGAAGGAGTGCAGGGGTGGAGGACCAGAAGGCAAAGCACATCCGAGAACTCTGAGACAAGTGGAAGCTGATTCTTTCCATCTCCTGTAGGGAGCATTTCTATATATATTTGGGGGACAAATCATCCCACTGTTGCCTTGCCTGAGAGAGCGGGCTATGGCATGCAGAAACATAACTCCATGCTGCCTCTGGTCACAGTTGAGGCCTCAACACCCTGTGATGCTGTGGTGCTCAAAGGCAAGACAGCACCAGGTGAAGATATCCTGGTTCCCTGAGAACCCAGTAGTAATATAAGAGAGAAAGGTTTCACCTGGGGAGGGAGGTGTTCCTTATCAGCCCAGCTCATCCCACCCACTGAGGTGGGAATGCTCTCCTTTCCACCCTCATCAGCGTGAAATTTGCATCAGCACAGGATCAGCTGTGTGATCACCACCGTCCCCCAAGTCACCCCATACTCCCTGTAATTATTGTGTGCACCCAATAAATAGCGGCTAGTTTGGAGAGTCTGTCTTTGCCCACTCTGAGGCACTGACCTCCCAGCCTCCCATATGCTTTGAAATTACCCATGTCTCTGTTGTCTTTTTTTTTCTTTAGCTCTGGCCATCCTCCTTTCTAGGCAGTTGGAGGAAATCGGCCTCCAATAATCTCCCATGCTGTAGACTGAAAACTGCCCTTGTTCTTTAAGAAGTCTTTAGTCCCAAGGATAAAGCTTATGCACAACGCAGCCGGCCAGCATCTTCCCCAAACCCAAGCTGCTCCTTGGCGCCTCCTGCTGTTCTCCTGAGCTCTCCCTTCTCCCCTCTTGGCTCCCCCACCCTCTGTAGCCAGCGTTTTGCTGATCTGAGTTGATGGTGCAGCTCTACTTCTTCTGCAGCATTCAGCTCCTCCTCCACACTCAGGCTTCCAGGAAAGCCACTCCCAGCTTTGCAGGCGTGCGCCTACCGTGAATCTCCAGGACCCAGAAGTTACTCCACACTCCCCATTTCCTTCCTATTAAGCAACCAAAGGGGCCAGCGGATCCCCAAGCCTGGGAAAGGCCCGACCCTCCAAGACCACCACAGCCTTTCAAGAACCCCCTGCCCCGAGCGAGCGTACTACTTCTGATGCCAGTCTGCCGCCACCTGACTCAGGTCAATCCCGTGCTTCTCCCACCAGGAGAGGGGAACTGAGAGAAGGTGCTTTCTGTGCTTGTCTTGGGCTGAACTCCTCCTCAGTTACCACATCTGGATGTGTGAGGCAGAAGTCCAGGCTCAGCTGTTCTGAGAAGTAGCAAGGACCTACAGGTGTGCATACAGCTGCTTTGAGGCCTCCTCCTCCTGTCTGCAAACACCTGGTGATCAGCTGTCAAGTGGAGACCCCTTAGGAGGCATAGGAGGCAGAGAGAGCACCACAGACACAGTTAAACCATCAGCACTCTGACCAGGCCTCCAATACGGTCCTAAGGAGTGAGAATCCCTTCCTGGTCCGGAGCCTGGAAAAGCCTCTCAGCAGAGTCTGCACCTCTCTGCCAATGAGAGGGAGCAGGAACAGGAAAAGGAACACACAGAGAAGCAACGTGAGGGCTGCCACTGGGTGGGCACTGTCCGGTCTGGTGGGCACCAGCTCCCACTTCAGACAGGCAGCACCCGAAGTGTGACTCACCGGAACTGAGGGGCACTCAAGTACAAGGAGCACCCCCAAATTCAGAGACTGAGAGGAAGAAATCATGGAAAATACGTTTATGCTGATTCCATGCTGCCGTGACCACATTTTACGTCTACTGGGTTAAATCGATTACTAGTTTCATCTGTTTCTTTTTGCTTTTAAAAGGATGTAAGTGGCCATCATAATCTCGTTTTCTCTTTCTTTTTCCTGTGCCCTTTGATTGTAAAGAGCTGAGTCCGTTCCTTTTCTCCAAGACTGGATTCTGCCCTAAGGATGATATCAATCATAATGTTTTCATTTTATCGTCCCCTCTGATATCTGGTAGCCCTTAAACAATTATCATGAAGATAATCTTTTGGACCCTCTTCAGTATTTTCATATGCTACAATATTACCACCACCAACATTCATTTATACTAGTAATTATTACTTCGGTTACCTAATACCACCTACATACCTTAGAACCATTCTACTCAAGAAATATCTCATTTATTTCTTAGTATCAGTGAGTTTTTCTTTATCCCCAGTTTTTGATAAGGAAATGGAGGTGGACCAACCAAGTAACATTTTTTTGTCATTAAGCCACACTTGAGCCAGTGCTGTGTGGATTCAGAACTTCTGTGATTTATCAGTGTTTTTTTAAGCATTAAAGTGCAAATCTTAGGTCAGGGCCCGGGATTTAGCTCAGTGGTTCTGCCACCTGCCCCACAAGCCCAAGGACCCGAGTTCGATCCCCGGTACCAAAAAAAAAAAAAAAACAAAAATAAATTTTAAAAAAAGGTAAAACAAAGCAGAGCGGCCCTGGGGTCCCTCCCCGCAGGCTTACTGCTGTCCCCACATGGGAGAAAACTGCACAAAGAACGCTTAAGAGGAACATGGTCTCCT